CTGACCCATGTCATTTGCATATTTGTAAAAAATTATAACAAACCCCAGATGATCTATGATGGCAACGCCTCCACTGTAAGTTATTTCATTTGTTTTCAATTTATTGCTGATTTTGACAATAAGCTGTTATTTTGACTAATGGCACTCAACAACGTCACGCAGCACTGGGTGCCAGAGAAAACAAACAAAAGCAACGTAACAACTGATATGTAGTACCGTTCATCTTGTCATGGTCGTAGTGTGAAACTATGGTATTGAGAATAAAAATCAAGCAAAAATGTAAGCAAATTAATAAATCTCTTGACATAAAATGAGCATTTTATTCAATACTATCATGAAAATTTGGAAAAAAAGTAACATTGGACTTGTGTCTGTGTAAAGTGGTTTTGAAACCTTGGTAAAACGCATACCCAGATTTGACATCAATTTCTGCTGTTCTACCCTGCGAAAAATCATGGACGAATAAAAATGGCCAATTAATAAGAAAAGTGAGAGGTTCATATTTTATAACAGTAAATAACACCTAAGAAAAAAGAATCCATAATTCCAAGACGGTATCCCCATCGTCTAATTCATACAACAAAAGATTTTTTAATCCAAAGATATGGAATAAAGAAATCCGTAATTTCTATAGCAAGGTGAGATAAGAATACTTAAAGTTCGATGTCATAAACAAACAGCATAGAATTTGGGGCTGTCTCATAACTTTCAGTTGTTCTCGACATGAAATTATGGCTCAAACAAACAAATGAGTCTATCAAGAAGGTGTTTGGAATAGTGCTTTTCTTCACAGAATTTCCAGTCTGCATTTGACTGCTGTTAGATTGCTTGATAACTGAAGACAACAGCAGAGTAAGAAAAACTCGATTTGAAAAAGGAAGTGCAAGTTTTGGGACAGCCCCTCAGGGGAATGTACAGACAATTGCCAATGACCAGAGACTATGATAGCACTGGGAGAGATGACAAAATCAACAGAGCGATAACAAGAAATAACTACATATTTAAATCCATTATGATCATGTGAGGATGTACCACTATTAGGTTTACCATAAACATTTTCAACATTCTGCACTGACTGATGAACTTGGAGTGAGATCTACAAAACATGTTACTACTACTAGTAATAGTTTCCTTACGGTAAATCATTGGTATGACATTCGGGATATTGCATTAGGAGAATAAATATGAAGCAGATTTGATTAATTTACCAGGTATTAAATAAGTACAAATATGAGATCGATTAATCAAATTTGATATAACAATAGGTCAATGACAGGAGTACTGAGGTGAACCTAGCCATAAATTTGACAATGATGGTCAACATATTTTAAATAATAATCTTTAAGTAAATAACATTTCCATAGACAGAACATCATATGAAACAGAGAAAGTGAAACTACCACCTGACAAATAATAAGTAATAATTAACAGAAAATAATGATTTATGAGCTGGATGAGTGTCATGATCTTAGTATGTTTAGATCTGTTTGGGATATGTAATGTTCCACTAAGCTAACTTGACAGTATAATCAACAATGTATCTGATGCTTAACCCTTGGGAGGTCAACAAGGGGTAAGGATATGTCGTGTTAATGGAAAATGAAACAGCATGGGTTAATGATGAACTAGTATCAATAAATTAACCCCATAAGTGCTATGTTAACAGTTACCGGATCCAAAAGGGAGCTCCATAGCGTTTTAGCACTTAGGGGTTAATATAAAAAAAAAACAACATTGCCTCTATACGAACTGTACAGTACATTGACTCAGACACCACATTCATTCATGAGACGTATATGAAAAATAGGTTATCAGAGTTCTGATGGGTTAGGGGGATTTGTAACAGTACTTCTTACCTGATCAGAAATACATCATTATAATTTCACATACAGAGAAAAAAAACAAGATTAATACAGTGTTTTAACACACAAACATCATTATTTGTTCAGCGAACGATATTAACGATAAATCAAACGATGCCCTTTCTTTTTGGCAACATGAAAAAAATAACTACCTTTTGTACCACTGGCTCCCAACAATTTGGTTTCAGGCTTAGAGTATTCTAGGATGTCCAATCAAACCATCTTGGACCATAGGTGGTTAACAAAGAAAGGAGCGAGCTGGTTTGGGGAGGGGCAAAACCCATCAGCACCCTAGCACTGGTGACAATACAGACTTAACTGTAGCCATATAACAAAAATGGTTCCATCAGAGTTTCCGTTGACGGCACCACCACGATAGTGAACTTCACTCGCTACAACAAGCCCAGTCCTCCTTCAACATGGTAAGCTCATGTGACACAACCACTGATATAAACCACATAACAGTAATGGCTTGCACGATTCGTCGTCTCACACACACACTGTAGCTATCAAACCTAAACTAACAGTTGTACAAGAGACTGCATAAAAATTGCATAATATGGTGTTATTGAGGCAAAGACATTTTGGAACAGCTGATCACTCACAAGCACCATTACTATATATTTTTTTTGTATTTTTTAAATATCTTCTTGAAAATAATTTCATCAATGCTCAATTTTTCGTGACACGAAAATCTGTAAAAATACATATTTAGCAGATTATCAAACATTCATCTTTGAAAAAACATATTGAACAATAGTATATATATGGCCAACTGCAATGGTGCATATCTCAAAATCTAACAACAAGTACGACTACATAGAAAAGTTTGTGCACAAGGCTGAAAATATAGGAAGACTGTCAACCATTGCTCTAGGAACACAACCATATATGTATGCTAAACACTCAACAGCAAATTAGAAAAATAAGTCTTTCCTCAAACTGTAAGGAAATGGAATTTCAAACGGTGAGCAATCGGTAAACTGTGGGGAATACACTGATTATGGAGTCATTAGCTTTAAGGCTGGTCTCTGTAACAAAATGATGCATCATGCATGTATTTTTTTTTTTTTTAATTTTTACATATAGAAAACTTTTAAGGCTGTTAAAATGATTAAGCAATGCCCTTTCTTTGAAGAGCATGTGACTGGGAACAACCAACCAATAAAAACCTGGACAGAAACAACTTCTAAGCCAATCACCTTTCAGGCAACAGTTGATTGGCTGATTGCACTCACCATGGAGACAAATGACTTTTGGCCAATCATTTCTGGGGGAAAATCTCAGCAGTGTTGCAACCTTTCATCTCACTACAGAGTTGCCTCCCTCTACATCATCTTCAAATACTGCTGTCGTACAAAATAAACGAAACAGCGACAATATCACACGTTTCAAAAATGCCACTACAAAACATTTCTACAGCCAGAAAATTACTGGCTTGAATAAAGAGAAGAGGTCACTAGACGCCCTTGTCCATGATCTGAGAAACATTATGGTCAACAAGCGCTGGAATGTCGGACATCTTAGCATGTTGTGCAATGGCTTTGGTTAGTTGCTTAAATAACTAAATTTTATGATGCTATGATGGAAACATGTGTGACGACTGAAATAACAGTTCAGAATCTGTCAGAGTTAGCAGTGGCAGCTGAGATCCAACAATAACGAAATAAAACGACATATTTCCCGCCTCTGAGGAGGAGGAGGACTGAGGGCAGGGGCGTCTAGTGAATGTGTTGCCGCTGTACGCGGCCAAATCTGACATTACAAACAACACATTCATTTGCATATACCACAATTCCACTTTGTAACAAGCTATATTGCAACTTAGTGAGGTAGCACAGACAATAGAGTCAAGACGATTCCTGCAGCATCAACAGGTTCATTGTATTCAATCAAAGAAACAATATCTGGCCAAATCTATATTTTCACCAGTTTCCACCCTGAGATCTGCAGCTAAACCCAACACCAGATGACAAAAATGTTGCCAGAAATCCCTACTTGTGATGGATTCTAGGACACTGTCCACTGAAATTAAATAAAATGATGCATTGATGCGTTTGTGAATCGTCGCACCTCTATACAATGAACAGTGAATAAGCCTTGCCCCTTTAGAAAGCTGTTAGGAACTACCCACTTCTGTGTTAGTCAATAGGGCTCTGTCTCCAGCTAGGAAACTTGGTCCTTGCTGATTTCCCCTCATTATCCCCCCAGCCACAAAGTTTTACCAACTCCCTCTTTGTCCTAGAGATTCATTAAGGCGAGAAAACCTGGGTTGATCTATGAAATCATATGGGAAAACATTGAGAACAGACAAGTTTTGATTGCAGTGGAGATGTTGGGTGTGGTAATTTTTTTTTAACTTCAAAATTTCTCCAATTTCAACTTCACAAAGAGGTAGGTCTAATCACTGTATAAATATCAATTGTTACTTTGAACAATGGTGGGAATAAAGTACAAAATTGTCAACAATGCAAATAAACAAAAGAAAATATTGATAAATAACTAAAGCATGACCTTGAGGCCTAACACCATGCAAAACTACAATCAAATAACTTAGTTTTAAAAAAAACACAGCTGATTTTAAATAATCTGCAGAAAAACGACAATATGCTTCTAAGCCACAACGATCGGCTAACTATATCACATTTTGTATATTAAAGACGAGGCTTTTGATGCTGACAAGGATTGTGGATTTTTTTTATCAACGAAATTAAATTAAGCATATGTATAACAGTGGAGAACAACGAAGTTTAAATACTGACAAGGAGTTATATTGTTAAATTAAACGAAAAATGTGAACCTTCGGATGTACCGAGTGCTTCTCGGTTCGGAAACAAAATATCTAAGTGTGAGTTGACTAGTCTTCGGAAGCGTAACAGTCAGTAATTTCTGGTACACTGGCTCAGCCATTTGACAGACTGCCATTAATCCAAATACAATGTGATTATGAGACAATTCCAGGCAAATGACAATAACATACAAAACACAAATCCATGCACAGTGTAAAAAATTGCAGATCGCATAATGATTTTTCCCCTTACTATATTGTAACAGCTTGTAATTACATATAAAATAGAACCTGCAATTAGTTACAGTGTACACCTAGGAATATGCAGGTGGTAACCATGGTAACATTACATGTATTTGTAGATGTATAGCTTGTAATCTTTACTGGCAAGAACGACTGAACCGTCGTCCATCAGAGCAACGTCGAAGCACTGAGCATGTTTGACCTTGGATTCAAGGGCATTGATGAGTTGGCCTTCTTGTGTGAAGATGGTCAAGTTGAAATTGTTGTGATTGTCAGCCACGAGAACCTCTCCTGCAGAGTTAATGCCCACTCCGATTGGGTAGTTGGTGACACCCTCTCCGCCGATCTGACGCAGAAATACACCTTGGTAGTTGAAGACCTTTACACAGTGGGCACGGTTGTCGCTGATGAAGATCTCTTCCTTGTCGTTGACGACAACGCTGTTTGGGAACTGAAGGTGCTTGGAGCAACCAAATTTGTTGAGGACGTTACCGAACTGGTCGAAGATGATGACCCTCATCACTTTGCACTCTACGATGATGATCCTGCCTTTGTTGTCAACGGTAACCCCTCGTGGGTGCTGCAGCACGTTTGCGCCGAACTTGCGAACAAACTGACCATACTGGTTGTAGATCTGGATTTGGTGTGTGGGACTGCGTTCAGTGACGATAATATCCCCTGACGATCTGACAACTGACACTCGATTTGGGTAAAGTAGTTGTCCATCACGTTTTCCACACTCTCCAAACTGGAACTTGAACCTGCCTTCCTTGTCAAAGATTTGGATTCGGTGATTATTGGTGTCAGCAACAATGATGTCATTCTGGGCGTTGACAGCAACCCCACTTGGTTCGGTGAACTGGCCTTCCAGGACTCCGAACTCCCCGAACCTACAGTGATAGATCATCTTCTGTCGTCTGATCTGGGACTTTGGTGGGTAGATGCTGGAGCTGATGAGTTTCGATGTGAGGTCATTTATTGGGTCGGCAGAAGGTGAGAACACATCAATGCCATTCGAGAGAATGTCAAGGCCACTGGACCACTTCTCGTACTGGTTGCTGTCATTGGGAGGAAAGATAAGACCTGGGCTCCCAAAGTCTTTGGCAAGGTTAACAGTGTCAACTTGGTCAAAAATGTGACCATTGCTCAGACTGGACGTTGTCGGAATGAAACCATTGGTAGTCGGGCGAGCAATTGGCTGAGGTTTCTGTGTTTGTAATGCCTCGTTTCCTTGTCTCACATATCCAAATGTGTTGCGCACGCCTGCTTGAATTGCCTGGAAGTTGGAGACAAACTCAATCTCAAAATAACCCTGGTTGTTGAGGTCCGGAAGGAAGTTGAACATGTTCTGGAACCTCTGTTCTACAAAGTTTTTCAGCAGCAAAGCCTCGGTGATGGAGGCATGTTTCAGGAGCTTGTCGATGAACTCTACACCTTGATACAGCTTCTCCACACTTTCCTGAATCTTCTGTGCCAGTGTGCTGATTCCAACCTGTTTGGTGTTGAAAGCCTGGTCCAGTTCCTTTAATGCCTCCGTCTTTCGCTCCTCTAGCATTGCCCGATAAAAGTTGTACGTGTCATTGATGTCATTCTGGGCCTTGTGGTACTGGGACTGAAGTGTTGCTGAGATGTGCTCTATTCCTTTGGCCGAAAGTCGCAGATCTCCCACTTTGCTTCTGGCATCACCCTCTAGGTGGCGCAACATGTCTATTTGTTTGTCTGCTACATCCATTAGGAACTGACATTCGTGGCCCCGGCCGTGGTCAAATACTGTGCATTCCTTGCAGATTGGCTGTGCACATGTCTTGCAGTAGAACTTGAGCACATCATTCTTGTGTTTGGGACAGCTGACTGGCTTGTCAGACTTGGAGCCCTCCTCCTTGTTCATCTGTAGGTCTCCCAAGCTCACTACTCGATGTCCTTCAAAACAGTGCATGAACTGATGAGCCATGACACAGTTTGCACACAGGAAGTTGGCACAGTCAAAACAGCGTGCAACAGCGTTTGTTTCTTTGCTTTTGCATCCTGTACAATGCAAGGCACTTGGGTCTAGGGCCGAAGTCTCCAGAATGTTGCTTACTGCGTAGTCCTGCTTGAGTCCTGTGAGCCCCTCGGCCCCGAGATATGTATCAAAGTGACACTCGGGACACGTGACTTTGTCTGTTTCATCCTGAATCTTTTCTAGACATGGCTGACAAAAGGTGTGGAAGCAGCTGAGCACCTTGGGCATGGAGAAGGTGTCGTTACAGAGACTGCAGCGAGTGTTGAGGCCAGCAGACTCCATCTCACTGTCAGAGGAGTTGGAGGCTGTTGTGAGCGTGTCGCTCTGAGATGGGGTTGGGGATGCCATTGTGTGGGGCGGAGATTGTCGCGGGTCAGTCGCACTTCAGAAATTGCACCTGGAACAGAGGAAGATATAGTAAGTATACAATGATTACTCATATTATTACATCAACACCAACATTAATTGGCCAATTTGTATCAGTAAGTCATCTCATGTACTAACAAGGTAACTGTCTTTAATGTTATCCATAGTCAAAATAACGACTACCAAATATGTATGGTTTGAATTATATTTTTACCCACAGATGCTACATATACTTGTAAATATTAGTAGAAAATGGACATAACTGACTGAAATGACATAAGTAATATTATCTGTTGTAAGGCAATGTATGGAAACTGTTAAGTTTTCAACTCATCTATCCTTTCAACTCATCTATCCCCCACGATTAACATGTTCAAGGCTTTAGTACCAGGAATTATCTGGGAACACTAAAAGGAAATCTGTACATGGCGAAAGAATATTTAAATACAAAAGCAAATGAGATATATTGACTTCAGACATGAAGCTAGCATTTTCAAATCTTTTCTTTTCATCAGTCTTCAGACAGATCCTTTGAAACCCAAATACTAAATTGTTCCTACTTTTGGTGAAGTTTGACCCATGTGAATAGGTTGTTCACACCCTAGGTCAAAGGTCAGTCAGAACACACACTGTGGACTGAGACAGTGGCTTCTCTATTTGAGGATATTTCAAGTGCCTGTCTAGCAGTCTGAGGATGTTTTCCTCAATCATAATCAGTTCTTTCAGGGAGTTGTGTAAACAAAACACTTGTGATCATACAAACACCCTTTTCAAAGACCGCTAAATATATACCATTCTTGTCCAACGTAACTTTTCAGAACTACTTGGGTAAGGTAGACAACAAAGTTGTCTGGTTGTTTTCATAGGTTACAAACTATATAACAGTGGATGAGATTCTAATGCAACAGAACATGTTACACATGATAAATCCTTCAATTCCTACTGTAATGTTATACGTGGGGTTTCATTATTACCCTCTGGCTTCATGCCTCTGCATATGTCATACACTATAAATAGAGCTGAGTGAGTAAAAAGTTGGAATCAGCTGGAAAAGAATAATACCAGATTTGAATGCCTAACTTCTTAAAAAATAACCAGGTGTGTGGGTATGGAAGGGACAGGAATCTGTGTGGTGATGGTGGGAGAGAAATTGATAATATCTAAATTGAGCTGGTCATGGTTTAAAAAAGCTTCATTCTGTTAAATACATGAGTATTAGATCATTTTAACCTCACGAAGAAGCCTTTCACCCTGCCTCCCTACATGATGATCAGTCAGTGTCACCAGTATTAATAGAACAGGACCTGCGATATATCCAACAGTCTATTATTAGACATCATTTAAACATTGAAAATAACTTGGCAAACCAGCAAAGCAAATAGAAGCCTCAGTATCACAAACAAGGCCACATGTCTGGGGAGCGGACAAGGGGATATCTGTCACCTACTTAACTCAAAATAAAACCCTACAAAAGACAAATAATAAAAAGTGAAAATGACATAAGCCTCTTTTCCAGTGTTGAAACCAAATTCAAGCTTCATATATTGTACATCTGGATTTAAACTTGACATTTGGTGAGACAAGCAAACCCCCTAACTGCTGGGCTTCCTGCTGAGTCAGTAATAACTTAAAAGCTAAGATTTGATGAGGGGCGTTGGGGTAGCCTAGTGGTTAAAGCGTTGGCTCGTCACGCCGAAGACCCGGGTAAAATGTGTGAAGCCCATTTCTGGTGTCCCCCGGCGTGATGTTGCTGGAATATTGCTAAAAGTGGCGTAAAACCAAACTCAGTCAGTCAGTCAGTAAGATTTGATGATCAATAAAAATGAAAAACATTCAGATTATACACCCAACACAGGAAGCCTTTCACCCTGCATATAATTCAACCTGTCACAAGGATCTGCCAACTAACCAACTTATATAGGAAGCTTTGTATTTGGGAAAAGTAATATCAGAATATTTAACCTAAAACAGCACTGGTTTCAAACAAGAAGAACAAACTTATCCTTGTTTTAGCATGTTTGCACTAGTTGATCAGACACCATCACTTGAGAGCATCAAAGCAAACATAGACGATGGCGAGCTTGCCGGAATGATTGAGCTGCATCCTGCTTCCCTAGTGGAAGAAGCATTTCAATCATCCAAGTCAATCAATCCGATAATTGTGTCAATGATTGAGTCAATGAACACACAGCAGAGCAACCCATATAACACAGCAATTACTACATGAATAGGTAAACAAAGGTCTCCTACCACATGAATAAGTACACAAATAGCACTTACTATATGAATAGGTATATACCCACTGTATATGAAACAAATGCCCAAACACTTGTTTGACACAAGCCATGTAATCAATGTGAAGATATGCGTAATCAAGATCTCATGCATAGTGTTACACAATAATACCTGGCCTTGTTGATGAGCAATCAGGCCCTGATTGTGTGGAAGCTTCCCACTTGTAAGCCCCAGAACGACATCCAAGCTACACCATGTTCACCTCATGTTTTCCCTGAACTGAGCAGGCAGCTGGCCACTTCAGCCAACATACAGCACTGCTTACATCCTCAGTGGGAGGAGGTTTGTCTTGCTTGGAGTTCACTTCATGCTGCTACATTCTAGAAACATGCCAGCAGGATGTACATAAGTATATCTTGGCCAGACAAACCAGTGGTTGATATCATAAGCATGATGACGTGCAACCAACTAAGTCACTAAGGCTGACCACATCATTTCTACACTGCAGCTTGCTGGGTACCCAAGAACAATGTTCCCCGTACTGTACTTAAAAGCTGAAATGAGACTAGGGAAGTCCAAAAATTCCTGAGTACAGGATGTCAAGAAAATGAGTCCACTAGGTTCACTGTTGTTTTGAACTATATCAGCATAATCAGACAGGTAAGTGTAATTTTACAAATCTGTGATTACAGTACAAGATCAGCAGATCCTGCCACAAATAAGGGACATCACTTCTGACACCTTATACACCAGTCATAGTGATATGGGTGATTAGTCTTTAGGCCAACCTTTATTTGTATATGAGTTATAGTGTGCTGTAATTCCTCTAAATATTGTCTATGAACTTAAATGTTTAATGTCATATTGCTGTGAAACTGCAAACAACACAAAATGTTGCCTACATCAGAATAGTTTCCTTGCTGAAGGAATTTGAAAGAGCCGAATAATCGCCATTTGAAAGGCATTATGTCTTAAAAAGACTGAATACACTAAATCGCTGAGTGACTAAACACCAAGGGCGATTACTGTTCAAATTCAAATTCATATTCACCCATTTCCTGCCTGGACCATTCATGGAATATAACAAATACCCAGTGACTACAATAAAATCCTGTAACACACCAATGAGAGACGAAAACAGACATGTTTTGTATGGCCTCACCAACTTTTTAGGCTTCACTGCATAAAGTTTTGTACTTCAACAACTCTGCAATCATTTCATCAACATATTATCAAAACTTTATGATGTACTGATCTACATGTTTTCAGAATGACATGTTGATCCTTCAACCAATCCACTGCATTGAAAATCACCCAAGAGCATAACTTTACATTTTTCATATGCTTGTAATCAAATGAAATACATCTGCAGATGATTAAAATGCTCAGTTAGGGCATTTCATAAAACTTTAACAGGAATGCACTGCTAACTTCAGCCATCAACTGGCTGGATTTACCACATAATGGATTTAATAACAGGAACATCACTTTGTGACCTTTGACTGAATCAGGATGTACGAGAAATGCCAGATAAAAATATTCAACTACCGTTAAATTCCCCACAAACTGGGATATGAATATTCATAATATCTAATGACTCATGATTTTCATCAAAAAGGTTTTGAAAACATATATTCACTCATCAAGAAGGTGTGAAGTAATAACACTTACCGTTCAATATTGATTTCTGACATAGGCTCAGGAGTTAATGTTCATAATGAAGTACAAGGACTTCCTCTGACAAGTAGGGCACACAAGGTTCATCCGATAAACTATGGGTAATGCAATACCAACGCAATTCCCTGAAGCGGAAGTAGGTCAAGCCCACAAGTAGCTTTATTCCAGGGTATATATCACTGCCACTTGCCCTACCAGTTACTGCCAATTTTCACACAAACTTATTGACCTCATTGAATATCATAAATGTCACTAGAATTTGGTAAAGCGTGAAGCTTGAAAAAGTTCTACTTACGTAAACAAATGACAGGTAGGGATATCCATTTGAATGTCCTGTTATCAGTCAACACTTATCTAACAAATATCACTCCAGGTTCATTAACCATGTCAAATAGTTGTATACAGAAACAGTAAACAGTACGAGTATGACCAATCAAGCCTCCCTCTTCAGCCATGTACATGTACAATCCAGTGCTGACTGAGGACTGAGTGTGCTAGGGTCCACACCACTTCCCTTGTGTATTGATGACTAACCATGTGTTCACAGGTCGGACAGACAGTCCCCAACAGCAAATACTTGGTCACCACGCGAACTAGGGGTGATCTCATAATCACCGAGTGTGAAATCTCACAGTTCCAGGCAACAAAGCCTCAAGCTGCCTGCTGGATATGGTTATTGTTCCAGGGTGAAATGGCTTGCTTTCGCCTAGACAAGCCAATAACTTTGGCTGCTGGTCGTCTGAGTCAGGTTCAGGGATCATTGAAAAAGCACATGACTTGATATGCCTCACTCTCTTCATCTTTTAGTCATGAGATGAATCTTGCCATCATCTTGAAAAACTAAACTTATCTAAATGTTAATGCTTGTCACAACTAGCATGTCATAAATGTAGCGTATAGAAGATTATGAAGGCCCTACACCACATAACTGTTTTTGATGATACTTTTATAGGCAGAATGTTCAAAGATCTGTTGAGGATTAAGAATTTTATGGCCCAAATGAATGTAATTTACTATATCAAAGTTCATGGAAAATCCACAGATCGTGCATGACTTCTTTTTTCACTTGTTTCCGTGAAGATATTTAATCAGCTACAGACTTCATCATGAATATAGTCC